GGAATGCCACATGTCCCCTGTGCCCCCGGCTCTGCTGTGCCCAGCTGCTCCAGAGCAGCTTCCCTAGGCAGGAGGGGAGCAGGGCTGGGGGTCCCACCCCCCCGGGGGCAGGGTGGCTTTCCCCTGGGCTGGGGGTTGGGCTCACTGGAGCATTTCCACCTTGCAGCTTCTCAGTGGGCGGCCCCAGCGCTCTGCAATTACAGCTTGATGGTGCATTTCCAGCCCCTCGGGTGTCCCGGGCAGGGGATCTAATCTGCTGATCCATCTCTCACCCCGAGCCCCTCAGGGGCCCTTTGAAAACCACTCTGACTGAAAGGTGGAGTGATTTGTCCAAACTAGTCCCTCTTTTCTGTGCACATATATGTATGTCGAGTGCTCTGGGCTCTCGCTGACCTTCCATTAATCTCTGTCACAAAAACTCCTGCCGTGGGAAGCAGTGAGCCATGTGCTCCTGCCCGGGGCACTGTGACATGGAGAGGGCTCCTGCTCACCCACCCGTCTTGTGAGATGTGGTCGTCTCAGAAGAGCACAAGTTTTGTGTGGTCTCACACTGCCGTGCAGCTGAGGGAGCTGGGGGTGCTGAGCCTGGAGCAAAGGAGGCTCAGGGGAGACCTTCTGGCTCTGCACAGCTCCCTGACAGGAGCCTCAAGTTGAGCCAGAGGAGGTTTAGGTGAAGTATTAGGCAACTTTTCTTCCCTGAAAGGGTTGCCCAGGGCTGTGCCAGGCTGCCCAGGGCAGTGGTGGAGTCCCCACCCCTGGAGGGGTTTCCAAGCCGTGGAGATGTGGTGTGAGGGACACGGGGCAGTGGGGACCTGGCAGTGCTGGGGGAATGGCTGGACTCAAGGATCTTGGAGGTCTCTTACAACCAAAATGATTCAAACTTGAGCCCAGCTCATGTTTGCTATCCAGGCTGGCTTCACCTCCTTGCCAAGGGGGCTTGGTCAGGGACCACACTGGGGAGCTGGCCTGGCTCCATGTCCTGGGTGAGAAGAACCCATCTTCCTGCTCCTGCCCTGTGCTGCAGGGCTGTGACCATAAGAGCAGGTTGAAGGGGGGAAAGGGAGAGGGCATGGACCTCCCTGGGGCTCGTCTGGTGGCATCTGACCCTCACTCTTGCTATATTGCTGTAGCACAATGGGTTGCCTCACTCCATGTCTAGCAAGGAGGCATCTGTGAGATGTTTCAGTCTACGCTGGGGGCAGAGAGCTCAGCTGAGGGTCTGGGATGTGGGGAGCTCTTTAGGGCAAGCTAGAGGGAACAGGTGAGATGTTGTGCATCTCGAGGGCACCTGGGATGGGAACAGACAGGAATGGTCCAGCTCAGCCACGGTGGCCTCAGCCTTTTGGTCACCAGCAAGACGTGGGGTGGTGTTGCCTGCTGCAATGTCATTGCCCACTTCAGTGACACAGGGAAGACACACCCCAACACCTTCCTCCACCTTCCCTGCTGAGAGTACTGTCAGCAGTACTGTGATGTCCTTCCTGTGGACACATCAGGGCTGCTGGGGGCCAGACCCCCCCTTTGGTCCTTGTCCCCTGCCCCACCTTGTCCTTTCTCCCAGATGGAGCCAGGGGAGGTGACGACAGTCCTCGACAACGAGCTGGAGGTCCCGGCGAGCAGCGGCCCCAGCGGGGACTTTGAGATCCGGGAGGAGGAGGAGGAGACGACCCGTCCTGAGCTGGGGAACGAGGTGATGGCCGTGGTGACCCCAGCACCCCCCCCCGGGCTGGGCAGGAACGCGGAGCCGGGGCTCATCGACAACACGATAGACTCCGGGAACTCGGCCGCCCAGCTCCCCCAGAAAAACATCCTGGAGAGGAAAGAAGTGTTGATAGGTGAGGCTGGGGTCTGGGGAAATGGTGGTGTCTCTGGGGTGGGGGGACAGGCAGCTGGGCTGGCCCTGCCCCAGGAGAAGGGGTGGTGTGTGGTAGGTCTTTGGTAGCGTTGAGCCTGGGATAACCCATGCTCAGCTACAAAAGTAGGTTCAGGACCCGTGCTGGATGGTTCCCAGGGGTCTTGGTGTCTTTGCCAGGAGAGCTGTGCACAGTTTGCTTTTGCTAAGGTGGGTTTCCAGGAAAGAATCAGGGTGTTAGTGGGAAGATGTGCGACGGTGCTGGCTGAACACCACCCACCCAACTCTGAGTGCAGGGGAGGAGAGAGCGGCCCTGGGAGGGCCACCTGTCCCAGCCAGAGGGACATCAGAGATGGGGCAGAGGTGTCGGTGTCCCACCACCAGCCAAAGGGAGCTGGAGGCCATGGCATGGCAGAGCAGCTGTTGTTCTGGTGGTCTCCAGCTGAGCGTGCTGGATGCCGGAGGGCACCCAAATGAGCAGCTCTTTGGGGGACTTTCTGTGCTGTCCTTCCATGAGGCTGCAGCCTGTGTGGGGACTTCTCTGTGCATGAGCTGCCTTGTCCATCACCACCATGCAGGTGTAGAGTAGATACCTTCAGGTCCTACCAACCCTTCAGCATCGCCGCGCTGGGGAGCTTGGCGAAGCTCCTTGAACCACGCGGTTGTGTTCGCCCAGCACCTTCCTTTTCAGCTTTTTGAAGCACAGATTCCAGGAGGAACGTTGCTTGCAAACTGGCCAAGGACAAACCCGAGGTGGAATCCAAGGGGATGCCCCAGGAGGGTTTGTTTGAGGGCCAGGGCAGCACTGACGGCCGCGCATCTCTCTGTTGCAGCGGTGATCGTGGGCGGCGTGGTGGGAGCTCTCTTTGCTGCCTTCCTGGTCATGCTCCTCATCTACCGGATGAAGAAGAAGGACGAGGGCAGTTACACACTGGAGGAGCCCAAACAAGCCAACGTGACCTACCAGAAGCCCGACAAGCAGGAGGAGTTTTACGCGTAGAAGGAGAGCCCGGCGTGCCTCGCGCTCCCTCCCTGCTCCAAACTCTCCCTCCTCCTCCTCTACTTCATCCAATCTCTCTTTCTCTCTCTCTCTCTCTTTCTTTCTTTTATTTTTTTTTTATTTTTGGATCAGACTGTGAATTTCAAAAGCAAAACCTTCAACAGCTAAAGGAGAAAAAAAAAACTCATCTTCGGCGTGGTGGAGAAGCCAGTGCCTGGAGCAGGGTGGAGCTCTGGGTGAACTCCCCTGACCTGGCTGCAGCAGGAGGGACGGGCACGGAGCCAGTGCCAAGGAACCCGTGCCCAGGGCGTGCTCAGGGCGGCCGGGCTGCCCACGGCTGCTGGAGATCACTGGGCTTTTCCCACCAACCCAACGGACTCTGGGATCCGGACACCTTCTACCAGCCCTAGGGCACAAGGGGGGGGTTGGTTTGGATTTATCTTCCTTGTTTTCTTCCCTTTGGAAAGGAGGGAGGTTTTTTGCCCTCTGTTGTATTTTTATTTTTGGGGTTTTTTTTGAACGGGGTTGGTTGCTTTGCAGGAGTTCCCTTGCTCCCTGCTTCTACCTGGAAAGAGGCTGCGACTCTCAGATACGCTTCGAACCTTGAAAAAAGCACAAGGAGCTGGAATACCTGGTGCCCCGGGGTTTGCTCTCAGAGTGGGGGGGAAAAAAAGAAAGAACAAAATACAAACACGGCCAGTACGCTGGAAATGATCTCTTCAGATCAGCTCTTTGGAGAGCCTTTGGAGCAGCAAGAAGCTGGAGCCTCTCCTGCTGCTCCCCTGCTGCCGCCACCACCTCGCTTCACTGCCTCGCTGTGCACAGCCAGAGACCTTAAATCTATCAAAGCCACCTCGCCGCCCACGGAGGGGTTTGGGTGAGAAGGGACTTTGCTTTTGCTGGGTTTTCACTGTGCCCAATAACCCTCAGCTCGTGCAGCACGACCGACAGCACTGCTTTCCACACGGAGCGGGACGTCGCTCGGCGGGGAGTTGGCAGGGAGAGGAGCTGGAAGCAGAGAAGCTGAATCCTCTCCCTGGTGGCTCCAGAGGGGATGCCAAAGCTCTGCAAGGCGTGAGGTGCAGGGGCACAAGAGGAAGGCAAAGCAGAGTCCAGCAGAGTCCGTGCTCTGTCCCCTCGGGGTCAGGCAGGGGTCCCTGCAGGGCCGCTCGTGCCTGAAGGTGAGGAAGATGAGGCAGAGCTTTCCACTGGCCAACCCCAGGGCATGTTGGCTGCTCCGTGTCTTTTGCCAGATCCAGAATTGATGCTTTGTGTTTCTTTTGTTGTCACTTCAGTTCCAGTATAGCCCACAGGGCACCGGGCAGCCTGAGGGCAGCAGGTCCTGGATGCCACCATCACCCAGGCGCGGTGGGATCCCCTCTGAGGCTGCCCAAGGTGCAGAGCAACAGGGCCAGAGCCAGAGCCCGACTGTGCCTTCTAGAAAGGCTCAATGGTTTGGAACAAGCCCTCTGCACGGAAAAGTCAATTAGCTATTTCCAATGAGCTGGCTTTTAATTAGCTGAAGTGCTGTTTGCCACGCAGTGCAGGAGCTTTGTTTTCGTGATGGTTGCGATCTCGATGGTGTCCCATGGAGACCTTGGCTTTGCTCTTAGAGCAATTTAAACAGGATAAACAGGAAAAAAACAAATATAAATCATTTGCTTTGACTCTGTTGCATCACCAATTAACCTGCAGAGACACAGCGAGGCTTTGTCCCCTCAGGGGTGTAGGGATTTTTTTGCAGAGGGCTTAGTAGTGTTGGTTTGATGGTTGGACTTGATGATCTTGGAGGTCTCTTCCAACCTAAATGATTCTGTGATGCTATGACTTAGGACCCTGAGGAAGGCTACAAGAGGGTGGTGCTTCTTTGTGTTAGGAATTTGAGAGGCCAAACAGATAGTTTATATATATATATATATATATACACACTCACATACATACACAGTTATATATATATATGAAATGAAATCCCTGTAAATTTTCGTTGCACTGCTTACAGAGGCTGGGTGGGGACAACCTGGCTGTGGAGATGGGAGGTTTGGGCTGCACTCCCTTGGGGTGGCTGGGACCCAAAATGCCAACCTGGTTTTACTTCAGGGCAGGGAGCAGAGCCCCTGTGCACAGGCCAGCTCCACAATCCTCATTGGAGAGACCTCAGCCTCCAAATCATCATTTTAGTCCTTTTAGTTTGGAGAAGGTCCTGTTGGATGTCTGGGATGGTGATGCTGAAAGGCAGCCCGTGCAGACAGTGTGTGTTTGTCCATTTTTTGGGTCCATCCCAGCTGCAGAGGATGAGGATACTGCAAAGGTTGGGACCATACATCTGAAGATGTCTTGGTGACAACCTGGCTCCAAGAGCCACTTTCTGTGACCTGCTCAGAGGGGAGAGTTTCAACTCATGATGATTTGGGGGATTTTTGGTCCTGTTGAAACCTCACAGAAGGCCCTAGATGTTGGAGAGTGGCAGAAATCAATCCTCTTCATGATATAATGAATTGGGCATGGCAAGTATCAAGGCTTCCATCTTTTGGAAAAACATGGACTTAATCCTTTCAGCTTGCATTAAAAATCCCTCCCAGCTTAATCTTTTAAATGCTGATTTTCTTAGCTGCTTCCCTAATCTTCTTCATTCCATTTTTATTTTCCCCCATTTAATAGTCTGAAGTTCTATAATACAATTTTTTTATTCACTCAAGCTTAACCTCAGTTTGCTCAGCTGGTGTTAAGTTGTAATCCTGGCACTTAAATCCGTTCCAGTTTCAGAAGTGAGGAAGGCTGGAAGTGGGAGGGTGAGAGGAGGTGGGGCAGAGCTTCCTCCTGCAGTAATTAAAAGTATGAGAAGACCACATGGAAAAAAAAAAAAAAGGTGAAGGCAATTAAACTGCTAATCAGAATTGACCAAAGTCTTAATTCATTGTATGTTTGCTGCTTCCACACGTTTGCTGCGTTGCTTTCTACCTGGAGTGGGGATGTGAGCTCAAGGAGATTCTCTTCTGGGCTTGGAGCCCACCTCTTGCTGGTGATAAATCACAATGAAGCCTTTCCTGTTACCTCAGCTCCCCAGGAGCACTAAGTTAGGGGTTGAGATGATGCTTGGGAGAAAAAGAGCTGGAGGATGGCTGATCTTGGGCCTCTCCTGTGGAGTAGAGGGTTGTGGTGTGGAGCTGAATCCCAGGATCCCAGCATGGTGGGGCCTGGAAGGGACCTCTGGAGATTACCTCATCCCTGCTCCAGCAGGGTCACCCACAGCAAGGTGCCCAGGATGGCATCCAGGTGGGTTTGGAATCTCTCCAGAGCAGGAGACTCCACCCAGGGTGGGCTGTGGGGTTTTTGGGAAAGCCCAGTTACAAAAAACTTGCAGATATCATCATCTCTCTATCACCAGAGCAACAGGGATGGGCAAACCCTGGTGAAACCAGGCAAATGACACTGCCAGGGTATGGAAGGGGGTTGTGATGGTGGTGGGCTGTGGCACAGCCATCCAGGCCCTTCTGCAGGGGCAGAGAGCATCTCACTGAGCTCTGGGGCTTTTGAGGAACTCCTGGTGAGAAGATGGATGGGGAAGAGACGAGCAAGCACGGCGGGGAGGAAGGAAAGCATCTTGTCTCAGCTGTTGGTTTGGCTGCAGAGCAAGATTTTAGGAAAATTAACTCGGCTGGTAGCTTGAGCATCTCCCACATCACTCCCTCCCAAAGCCTGCCAGATTTGGCACTGTCCAGTGTGGGCATGTCCACCGGCCATGTGGGCACAGAGGACTTTGCCACTTCCTTTTCCCTTCCTTTTCTGCACACGTGTGTGTGTGTGTGATACCCCAGAGCTGAAGGAAGACTCTTTGCCATGCCAGCTACATCATTTCAGGAGAGCTGCAGTTGCAAGGCAGGAAAGCTGGTGTCAGCTCCTCTCCCAGCTGTGCTGGTTCTCAGTCTCTCTCTGCTGTGATTTGCAGCAGATGATGCTTTGGAGAGTGGTAACCAGGCTCCTGGGCCACATAAATAAAGAGGAGGGGAGTCAAAGGGGAGTGAGGACGTGTGCAAGAGCCCAAATGAGGGTGAGGCAATGGGAGGATGGGCAGGGCAGGGGGTTGGATGGCCATGGCAAAGGGCAGGACCCAGCCCTGGACAGGCTCTGCAGGGCTGGGATTGAGCTGCCCCTTTCCTCCAAAAATCTCTTTGCTTTTGGCCCTTGTGCCTGGAGGGGATGCTGCTGCTGGGAGGTGATGGTGCTGGACTGGATGTGTGCTGTGGTGTGCTGCTTTGCCTCTACAAGTCCCATTCCCTCCCCATTTTGCCTACTGGGAGCCCAAGTTGGCTGGGAGCTGCTTTGGGTGGGCTCCTGCTCCCCACCCTCCTAATTCAGCTCTAGCTGACCCCTGCCACCAGCACGGAGGCTCTAACGGGAACAAACCCATCAGCTAAACACAAAAATGGATTTTTTTTCTATTTCCCCCCACCTTAAGCACTCTTTTTATGACTAGAAGCATTTCTGGGCTCGGAGGTTTTCTCCCAGGTCTCTGCCATCTCCTGGAGTGACATGAGGTTTTCAACAGAGGAAGGTTTTTGGAGTAAGTGGCATCTCAGCTCAGCAGCTGGTGGCCCCGGGGCTGGGGACACCGTGGGCATCTGTGTGGATATATGTGTGTATGTAATTAATAATGATGTATAGATGTATATAGGAGCGTGTGCACAGCTCTGCACCGAGCCAGGAGGAGGGAGGTTGCTCAGCCAGCACCACGCACTGGGCTCTGCACCCCTCAGACCCTGCCCTGGGCTGCAGGATTCGGCCCCCGCGCCGCTGGCTCCTTCCTTCCCCCTCTCGTAGCCACGGCCTGATCCCGGCCACCTCGCTGCTGGGTTGGCCAAGCTGCATCCCCGGGGGCTGGCGAGGTGGCCAAAGCCCCACAGAGGTGGCCAAAGGCTCCGGGGTCACTCAGTTTTGTCCCATGCACCTTGTGCCTGCAGCTCCGTGGCCGTACCCACGCCCTGTCTCTAGAGAAGTCTCAGTCTGGAGTGTACAAAGGGTTTTTTTTTTGTGGATTTTTTTTGTTTTTCTTTACTATTCTTTTTCTTGTGGCAAAAA